ACACATACACACATACACACATACACACATACACACATACACACATACACACATACACACATACACACATACACACATACACACATACACACATACACACATACACACATACACACAAACACACAAACACACAAACACACAAACACACAAACACACAAACACACAAACACACAAACACACAAACACACAAACACACAAACACACAAACACACAAACACACAAACACACAAACACACAAACACACAAACACACAAACACACAAACACACAAACACACAAACACACAAACACACAAACACACAAACACACAAACACACAAACACACAAACACACAAACACACAAACACACAAACACACAAACACACAAACACACAAACACACAAACACACAAACACACAAACACACAAACACACAAACACACAAACACACAAACACACAAACACACAAACACACAAACACACAAACACACAAACACACAAACACACAAACACACAAACACACAAACACACAAACACACAAACACACAAACACACAAACACACAAACACACAAACACACAAACACACAAACACACAAACACACAAACACACAAACACACAAACACACAAACACACAAACACACAAACACACAAACACACAAACACACAAACACACAAACACACAAACACACACACACACACACACACACACACACACACACACACACACACACACACACACACACACACACACACACACACACACACACACACACACACACACACACACACACACACACACACACACACACACACACACACACACACACACACACACACACACACACACACACACACACACACACACACACACACACACACACACACACACACACACACACACACACACACACACACACACACACACACACACACACACACACACACACACACACACACACACACACACACACACACACACACACACACACACACACACACACACACACACACACACACACACACACACACACACACACACACACACACACACACACACACACACACACACACACACACACACACACACACACACACACACACACACACACACACACACACACACACACACACACACACACACACACACACACACACACACACACACACACACACACACACACACACACACACACACACACACACACACACACACACACACACACACACACACACACACACACACACACACACACACACACACACACACACACACACACACACACACACACACACACACACACACACACACACACACACACACACACACACACACACACACACACACACACACACACACACACACACACACACACACACACACACACACACACACGTGTTTTCAGTAATTGCTGTGAAAATTAATAATTTCGATTTTTATAATGGAACTTTACAATATAGTTTTTTTTTTACTACTAACATGAGAAATCACCATTATTTACTCCATTCCTCTAATGAGAAGTAATATTTCTCTCCCTAGGTAAATAATGAAAATAAAAAAAAACCTAGGTAAATAATGAAACTAAATTTCATTTTGTTAATTTGACAACTAAACTCCCAGACTACTTGATATTTTGAAATATTTGAAAAATAAGTAGGAAATAACTAAAGCTGGGTTTATTAAAATCTAATCAAATCAAATATGATAATATATATCAGTGTTAATAGTAATAGTATATTATGCAACGATCATGTAATGATGGTTATTAATACACGAGCATTAACCGGGATACGAAACGAGCCAAAGGCGAGTTTCGTATGGTTTATGCGAGTGTTTTAATAACCATTACATGAGAGTTGCATACGCTATTTTTTCTACACCCGATAAATAATCAAGACCTATAAATATTATATTTATATTGGTATTGAACACAATAATAGTAATTACTCGTATTTCTATAAAAAATTCTACAAAATTGTAATTAATGGTATTACTTCAGGTATTGGTATTTCCCTAGATTTTTGCGGTAAAATATTTTGTACTGTATTTTCTGCTTTCTCCGATATGTGTGGAGGAGTCTTCTATATCGCTAATATCAGACATTTTAATATTATAATTATCGAAGTTTAGCTACCTACGAAAATTTAATACGTTTTGACAACTAAAATAATTACATAGGAACCTAGGACAAACGTCAAACAGCATGCTTGATTGAAAAATTGTAGGTTTCTATTGATTAAAAATCTGTATCGTAATGAAAAATCTGTATCATAATGGGTATCATTATGAAACGGATTATGGGCATATAAGTGCATTATTATAATACGGGTGTAGAAAAAAATATATATTAACTAGGAAATTCAACACCGGCTTTAAAAATTATTAATTAATAACAATAAATCCATGTCATTAAAATATCAAAAATGCAATGGGATATAGGGACCGTGCGTGAAATATAGAGGCAGCACTACTGCCGAACTTAGCCCTCTCTAGTGTTTAATTTTAGAATTAAATGGGGTAAACATTGCAAGTAAATAATAAAGGCTATTTTTTTAAATATTAAATATAGTTAAAAATAGATACCGGCCCGTACCAAACAATCGTGTACATGGTCAAAATGACGTAAAATGTGAAACATTATTAAAATCTGGACATGCATATATATTTTAAGCAAAAAGATTTAAATGGCTAAGTGACAATAAATTGTAAAGTTGTACCTTAAACAAGTGTATCCAATGTTAAAATATCGGTATTTAGTAACACTGAATTTAAAAGTATTACAATAACATTTAAATAATGTAAATTAATAAAAAAGATTGATAATAATAATTATAAATCTTTTTAGCTTTATGTTAATCGAAATGTCATTCATCCACTGACGTTTATGAGATGTTCAATGATACATATTATAGATTGCTCACCCATCTATAAAAAAATTATGAAAAGCGGGTTGCAATGTGCCTTTCCTAGTGCTCACTAAATAGAGCCGTTCTAGCCCAAATGTGTTTTAAAATAAAATTTCAGCATTTTAATCTTTAGAAAAAGAAAATAATTAGTTTTACTTCAAGACATGTCATTATGTATTTGGAAAGTTGAGTTTTCATGTAGTTAAATAATATTAAGAGATCTAAACAATTTTTATAACAGATATATATAAATAATTTTAGACTACTATTTCAGAAACAATTCTACATAAAATACATAATTGCAATATGTAATACAATTTTGAAAAGGTAATGTAAACAATTTTGATATGAGGTATAAACAACTTTGGGAAGAGTTGTAATTGGACACTTATCTATTATTCTGAATAATGTTTAATGGTAATGTCACTAAAAAAAATTTACAAAAATCACTGGATTTTTAATATTTTAAAGTTTGTTACAATCTCTTTTGACAGTAATTGCAATGTATTATTTATATGTTTATTTTAATAATAAATGAGAAATAGTTAATAAATTGTAAAGAGGGCCGTGATATTTTTGTCAAATTGGACATTCTTATTTCATATTCTACATTAGTTTTAATCAACAGAATAAACCAGTATCTGTAAAATGATATTTATATAAAATGTTCATTTAAATATGTAAAAATCTTAATGACAAGAAAACACTAAAGATTCTAATTTCTAAACCGGTTCTGTAAATGATTTCTTTACAACTAAGTGCTCAAAATTGATACAAGCTAGATAAAAAGAAAACTTTGCCCAGTGAAATACGCTTTTCGTCGTCTGATTTACATATGGATAAGCAATCTTTGTAATTATGTATATCATTGGGTGTGAGGCATAATTGTGCTCTGTGGAAATTTATAAAATTTCTTTACTATCGAATGAAATCCAGGTTTCCAAAGTGATGTGTTTGTACATCCACGGATGCAACAAGTTTTTTCGATATTGATATTACGAAAATAATTCGACTTCATTTTATTAATAATTATTAAACAATAAATGCCGTATAAAACATTAATAAATACCCCCCATAAAGTTCACATTTTTGTCACCAGTTAGCGTTAAAGTCATGACGCACGGTCCCTATTTCCTAGAATCATACCAAAATTTGACACATGCCAAATTTTTACATAAATAAAGCCAGTCTGATTAGAAACACGCTCCAGTCTGCTTGATATTTCGAAATATTTAACAAATTGTTAGGAAATTACTTATGTCAAAATTAAAATTGCTAATACATTAATGTTAGTAGTAAAAAAAATTCTATATATACCTCGGCTGAGAAAGCTATTATAGCTCACTTCTCACCCTAGGTATATAATGTAGGTACTATTATTTTTTCAAATTTTTTCTTTCACTACATAAAACTACAAACGATTCCAAATACAAATTTAGCAGTTTTAAATAATAATATTAAATAAATTTAATATTATAATTAATTAGTTTATTTGTAAAAACCTTAAAACTACAAAAAAATAAAAGTCACTACAAATCATCTACATCGTTTGTAGTTATAATTCATAAAAATATTTTTTTATTTTGATATTAGTCGGGTTCCAAAATGACGGAGATCAAATCGACGACAAAATTTTACCAATTTGAATTAAAAATGTCTATGCTAAAATAAAGGACAAGTTCAAAAATAAAAAAAGAATCAATGACATTCTATATCAATGAACAAAATTTTATAAATATACGTATGTAATTTATACAGTAGGTACGGTAATCGACGGATCTGACAAAATAAAGATGAGGAGCTTTATTATATTTAGACGCGAGAGGTTTAAAGAGTGTAATTGGTTTAACCACGTCATTTCGATGGCAAACATGGGATATTACGGTATTCACTTGGCAACGTATTATTTCATTTGTCTATTCTATTATTTTCATACATATCTCATGGATTCAGGATTGAAAAGTTAACATAGTGCATAAATTATATGCATATCACTTCATAATTAATTTAATAGCATGCACACGCCATTGGCCATCAGATTTTCTTAGTTTGTCTTGCTAGCAAACAATGTATACAATAATCATTAAAAAAATTATATAATTTGATTTTTTTTTTAGTTGCTCTATGTGGTTATGAAGGCTACACGGATTTTCTTTCAAATAAATGGCTGCTATACATTTTGAAATCCCAAAGATCAACAGGATGCTTCGCAGGAAATTTAACGGATGACTTAAAAACGAAAATCAAGAGGACCTCAAATATATTTGAGGATGGATGTGCAGATCACACTACTGGGATTGCACTCACGGTTCTATCATTATATTACAATTTCATTGTAAAAGAAATATTTATATAATATAAAAATTGAATATTACATACTATTTTTTGTTTAATTTCTGCACTTGATAATAAATGTTAAGAATTAAAGATTTCTAATTTCTGATATGGAGGTAGTAGGGAGAGGAGATGACATATGTATACCATACAACAAATTATTTAACCTATTGTGGTACTATCTTTATTCAACTTAAACGCAAGTAAAGCGTAAACAACTTAACGAGGTTGAATAATATAGAGATGACATGCCTAAAAAGCGACACCCCTTTCCCATATCTTAGAAGCAATGTTATAGTTGTAAAGAGTTGTCAAAACTTTTCAAAATTTTAATATTTCAGCGTTAATTCTGTCGTAAGTCAGTCTTTTATATTTATTATTTTGCATAAAAATCATGACCAAGTGTATTAAACCTAATTATAAAATATATAAAATGAAGAAAGAAGACGGAAGAAAAGGTCTGGTACCCTATTCTCGAACTCATGAGAGCGCCCCTACACGACGAGTTGACTGCTTTATCACCAGTGTTGCCAGACGACCAAAATCAAATTGTACAATGCTCTAGAAATTCTTTCTTTTTCTCATAATTTTATCGTACTAAACTGACCTTACTAGTGTGACGTTATCGGAAGCTGGTTAATTTAAGAGTTTATGGTATTAGGATTAGGGTAATTAGATATTAATTTTATTGAATATATAAAAAAATATAAAATGGAAAATAACAACGCCTATTCTTGTTCAGCTAAAGTTTCAAAAATAATTTATTTTTCTTGTAAACTTGTAATCGTTTCTGATTTTGATCTCCCAATTGTTTTTGTCTATACATTTTTAAAGATTTCATGAATTTTATCATTCCATATGTAGGTTTAAAACTTACACATCCATTATCCTAAGAATCCCGCACGTATATCCTTATGTAAAGTAGAGACCGGTCAAATTTTGGTATGTTACTGTACTCAAACTACACCTTTTCCAACTGTAGTACAAAAAGCGAAAAGAATCATTTGAATTTCAAATTAGTCAATTTAATTTAAAAAGTATCAAATGTACAGTAGCATTTTGACAGTCCAGTTTTTCTTAGGACGGAAAATAAAACCAATTCCTAATCACAACTATAAGGTCATCACGTAGGATATTAATTTCAATTGACATGTAGTTTATACTATAATTATTTACAAACAGTTCACAATAATTTGGTTTAACTAAAGAAAACTATAAATTATTTCTGTTAAAATAGTTATCAAAATATTGTATTAAATTTGTATAAAGTCTAATTCTGATAAACAATATTTTATACAAATGAATAAATTATTTTTATAGCTTAATGTTTAATAAGCAATAATGTTTAATAAAATAAAACACCGAAATTAAATTAGCGAATTTTGTAGTCATTATGTACACACTATGCATTAGCTATACTAACTACTTGAAATCACCCGTCCAACGATTTAGTTCGAATCTACTCTTCCTTAAAGTTATCCAATAAATATTTTTTGTACCTCTTGTTATAATATATATTTTTTAACAAAGAATCTATTTCAGGAATTTGCACCGGTTTTGGTTTATCTTTAAAAACTCTAAAAACCAATGTTCAGCTGGGAAATTTACTTTACGAAAGTAAATTGTTCTAGTATTTGTAAACAAAATGCAAAACGTAATATTAATTTTTTCAAAGCGACTTCTTGTATTCGTGTAAACGTACCTTAATAAAGTTGACGCTGCTAAGCAACAACAAAGCGCAACTGAAATAAGACACTTGCAAACTGTAACTAAAAATGCGATAGTCTTTTGTCAGAGGACTCGGAGGTACAATGAAATAGAATTAGTAATGTCAGAATTTGATGAAATTTCTGAAGCGATTCGAGAAGCAAATAAAAACTATTAAAAAATAGTTAACAGAATTACCTTATTAGAAAGACAAGAGAAATATATATAAGATTTCTCTGATGTTGCTCAAGTTTTCAATGGGACATTTTCTGAAGAATTACAAATTGGGCCAGATTTATTATCCGCTCTTAAATATGCTCCAATTACATGTCGATATAGAGCGTTTATTTTGCATGTAAAAATTAATTTTAAGTGTTAAAATACAGTGTTTTCATACAAAATATAGAAAAGCAATTAATTTAATAAATTTTATTAATAAAATACGAGTAACAAAATAAAATGATTCTCCTCAAAGTACTGCATTAGTGTAACTTCAGTGAGCCAGACAAAAACAGCAGTAGGTAAATTTGTTTGAACGTCATAAGAAAGTAGTTTAAAGGTATGTAACTAAATTATTTTTATTGTGAATATTGCAGTAGTATACTTTTAGATGAATATAATCTTGAAAATACAAAATAACTACAAATCTTATAGTGTTGTGTACAAAAAATTGATTGATATAATTTTAAATCAGGCACCTGTGCAGTATAATATAGATGTAAATATGTTTCCAATATTAACAAATAATGAAATATAATAATACTCTCCCTTACGAGTGAATTTTAACCCCAAAAGCTGAGCTTGTACGGGGAAAGGGACGGCTATTATTATTATTATTTGCCTTGGCGCTCCGGGGCGACTTTAAGATGATTGATGGTGCCATTTGACTTACAGGCGAGGAAAACCTCACCCACCATCATAGAGACGGTAATGCATGCCGATTTTATAATCTGCATGTCATATTAACAGAAATTGAATTTCTATTAATATGGCAAACATCAAATCCTATACCGAACCATGCAATTTAATTAAAAATCCACATTGTCTGGTGTAGGCCCAGCAAACATTTTGGTGTAATTTGACGTCGATACTACCTAAATTATATATAATAAATTTGGTCGCAAAATTAGATTTAACCATAATTAAGTAAAATTTACGTTGGCTCGACGTGGATTCGACATAAGTGGAGAAAAAGACGACGTCGAAATTTGGTTTTATTTACCAAAATAGGTAGAATTACATCTAAATCCACATTGTAGTAACCCAGTACGTTTCGTTAGTAATACCTCTCTAGGGAAATTTGACGTCAATATAACGTTAATTCGACGTTGATTTAACTAAGTTTAGGTAGAAACTACCAAAATATTTGCAAATGACCTATGCCTCCAAGTGTACGAAAAGAAATTTTATACTTATTTGGTATTTTTATCTATATATAAGTAGAAATATTGTAAGAAGTCACCAACACAACTAAAACATATATCTAATTCACATGAAAGATTGAAAATAAATAAATGTCGGTGACATGTAATGTAATTGTGGTGAATATGTTACGGTTCAAGTGTTTACTTGGCTAGTTTATAGACTAGCTGGATAGTATACAAACTATCCAAATGTCCTGCTATTTTTATGGAAAATCATATTTCTACTAAAATAGCTATTGGTTGGTTTGTATACTAACCAGTTAGTTTACAAACTATATAATATTTATCGCCAAAGTACAAACCACAAGAAAAGTACACAAATTAACCAATATTTTTGTCTATATAGTTTACAAACTATCCACAGTATTTGGATAAGTTTGAACTTAATATTTGTAGTGATACATAATAACCAGCTCGTCGGTTAATATGTAAACTAACCAATCCTCTTTGGTTAATTTAGTTTAGGATAATAAAATAAAGTTTATTTATAGGTACAACATTGCTATTACTACTTAAAAATAAGTAGAAAAACAAAAATGACATAAAAATACTTATTGTCTGACAAAATATTAATAAGAAACTTTAAAACATTGCAATCACAAAACAAAGAAAATTATTATTTATTAGAGCAGGGTGCACTGTTGTGGCACTTGCTGTTACACGTATATCCAGACACTTTTTATTGGAGCACAAAATCTTGGGTTGAACCAGAGACTAAAAATGTTCTTGCAGCACTTCATAATATTATTTCCGTGTCTGTCTTAACATTTTCTAACTATATAAACTGTTTCTTGCATATTTCAAATTCGTTGCGGCAATACAGTTGTTTAAGGACACCGTGAACAGTTCCAATTCAGTAAAATTCATCTTCTACGCTCATTATTACACCCAATATATTTCTACGATCTGATCGACTTCGGTCTACGTCTGGAATGGGCACTGTCACGGACATGCCGATAGTTCCTGGTTTAAACTTCTTCCCAGAAGTTTGTAGCATTTTATTTGCTTGCCTTTTTAGACTTTTGTTGCATGCATCTTTTATCGCTTTAATATTGTTTTTATTCTGACAATGATCACATACAGTTTCTTCAGTACATAATGTGCATTTCTGCGTTGATAATCGTTCATTGAGAGCATTTTTTGTAGTTTCAGTACCTGGGATCATTGCCATTGCTTGTTCTTTAAGTGAAACTTAGGTTTCATTGTTATCTTCGAGTACAACTGGGATTTCAGTATAATTATCGAGTATAACCAGCTTAGCATTATCAAATAAACCTGAAAAATATTAGGTTGTACTGTGAAATATCCTGGTTCGTTCTCTCCACTGAACCTTGTGATTGTAAATGTATCGGTTTACCATGCATAATGTGACAGTCAGGCCACATTTCAACTAATTCCTCAAAAACGTAAGAAAATTCAAATATATTGCTATTGCTGCGAGAAAGAATAAATTTTTACATTTATAATATTAGTAAATTAATATGGTTATTTTTCACTTTATCGACTATTTAATTGAATAATTTTTTCCAACAAAAATAAATATATTGGCATCTAATTTAACTTAAAAAATAAAAGGCTTGGCTGTGAATCGAACATGGGCAAGTGAGCATTTATCCACTTAACCACCTATTAGATTTTGCCTTGGGTATTTCATATATTTAAATCAGGGTTTGGAGGATATATATCACAATATATATCATGATATTTATACCTTGATATATATCCGATATATTCGATAATTTTATTTATTAAATTAAAAATGTTTTCCACTATTCTGAACATCCGAAAATATCTCAATACGCCCCTGTATAAAAGTATAATAACTAGCGATTTATATGTGTTTGTGTTAAAATATTAATGTTAATAAAATAATGTTAAAATCTGTTTATTTTATTAATTATTTTTGTTTTTCTTTTTAACTTGAGTTAGACAAAAACGGTTTTGTTGTTTAGAATATAGGTTTTTGTT